CACGAATGCCCCAGTTGACCGGTGGGAATATCCAGACCAGTTATACCATGCCGTTGGGCGCCACAGAATGGACAGACGAGATGCATTCGTCCTGCTCGCAGAATAGAGACGCTTTGGGAAATATTGCCAAGCGCGCTGGGTCAAAGGACGAGTTTTGTCAGTGATTATGTGACGGGATTCTTGAACCCCTGTAGCGACATGACGGACGACAGGCAAGAAATGGGTGTTGTCCCCGACTGGGCGAGAAGAAACGCATATTCGGACATCCAATGGCTGTTTGGAGGGCCACGCCTCTACGCGACATCTGATGGTCGGGGCAATCAACTACGACTCGGATATGCAGGGGTGTGTCTGATCCGAACACCCAGAGACGAAATGTATCCCTGACGGCCTAGCATAACGGCGTCTAGCACCCAGATGTGATCGACGTGGGATCACACCACCTCTAGGGATTTTGTGTGAGTCGAGCGCAGCGACGCAAACGCACTTGTTACCATTACAAGACGGACATGGCAGAAGTATATGAAAGTTTAGGGGCCGCTTACGATGCCCCTGGCTTTTATGTCCCAGTGATATTGTCATCAAGAGATCACCGTGAGCAGTTACTGCTCTCGAACCTAGTACTCGATTACCACCAGCGTGTGTGTCTGCTGTGGAATTTATACAGCGTGATTAAGTGTTTTTACCCTTTTCGTCCTACACCATTAATGAGGCTCGGAGCTTGCCACCAAGAGCATGGGAATGAGTGGCCCTTTCACGTAACAAAAAGCTAAGCAAGGCCCTCTCGCTTCGCAATAACTTGTGGTTTTTTTCGTCTCTGGGGAGGAGTCGGCCAAGTTTCGATGTTGGGGACCCCATCTTGACCAAAGCATTGTTCTGGATCAACAGTTCTTCCGCGCCGCTGGCTCGTGGTCTCGTGGTCCTCGGTAAACACGATGCGTTGCAAGGTCGCGCCGTATTCGTATTTGGACGGGCAATAACTCCTCGTCACGGAGCCAATCACAACCATTCACCGTACGGTCAAGACGTCTGGGCATATCCGCAAGGCACACTTTTGCCATGGCCAGGTGGCTGGAAAAGAATATCAATGCACCTCATGGTTGAGCTTGCAGCAGATGGTGGAATTGCTCTTGTGGGTGGAAACATGTCGACACTGGTCGTTGGACGGACAAATACGGGAAACGACCCTTCCGTGATGGAACGCAAGGCGAGGCAAGGCTAAGGCGAGGCTGATTCCTTCCCGAATACGAGGGACGTGGCAGACTACCTACGAAATGCTTTCGGACGGACGACATATATAATATGATGAAGACGAGACGACTTTCATGATCATGGGTTGAGACTGATATATGCTAACGGTGGTTCTTCTTTGCCACGATCCCTTACTGCTGTCTCGGCTGGACTCTTGGTCTGCAATCCAATTGACATCGATTGATATCGATTGATGTTCTTGGTCTGGCGTGGTTGACTCCTGTTGTGATAGCCCTACGAGATAAAGATTCCCCTCTCACGCCAATATCGATCGAGGCCATGGCTCCAGATCGTCGGTTGTCCTTTTTTTTCTGCTCACCTTTGTTCTTTAGACATCGTTACCTCGCTAACCTTTGCCCAAAGCCGACATCAACAACTTCCTTGACAACATGGAGAAAGGTCCATCTGCCGTGTTTGCAGTTTTGTTCGCCGTCTCCTGTGCGGTCCATACATGGCAGAGCAGGTGTGAAGTTTCCTCGCGATAACCCTTGCCATTGTAAGTATTTGTGTTAGCCTTGCTAATACCTGGTTATCATGCGCAGCAAGTACAAATGCTGGGAGACGACGTGGCCGCTGCCTTTTGCGTGCATTGTCATGACGGCGGGGTTCATCTGTCGCGAGGTCGCCGCACACGACCATGATGCAGATAGTGAAGGGAGCGCGATCCAGGGGCTCTTTTACAGCGCCACGTAAGTTTCCATCTCCCCACTGCCGCAGGTACAAGTTCGAGTCGAGGGGTGGAAAACAGAGTGCTGACCGACGTCGTCTCTGGAGGAGATAGACCAATCTTCACGCTCCCGCTTTACATGCTTCTGCTCCTCTATTCCGTCACCGCGGCGGAGTTATCATGGCCCCGCCTCAACCTGACCCTCTCGTACGTCGTCATCTGGACCTTCTTCAGCGCCGTCATCTCCTGCACCGCCCAGGGCGCGTCCACGTACTTCAACCCCGACGCCAGCACGGGCGCCGTCCGCTCCGCCCTCGCGCTGCTCAAGGCCAGCCTGTTCCTGCAACTCGCGCCCAACGCGGCCTTTCTCTTCGTCCTTTTCAGGTGGTTGTGGTTACTCGTCGCTGCCCGTCACCGACCCTTTCTGTCGGCGTTGCTCGCGCTGATGGCGCTGATCTTCGTACGCAACGTCTTCCGCACCGTCCAGCTCTTCGTCTCCCCGCGCTCCCCGCTGTGGACGGCCGAGGCGTATTTCTGGGTCTTTGAGGGTGCGGTCATGCTGGGGTATACAGTGCTCTTCCATGTCTTTCATCCGGGGATATTGGTGCCCACTGGGCTGGAAGATTACAGGAGACAAAGACGGTGTAGTTAGATTGCGTCATATCATTTTGATGGAAGGGTCTACCAAGTGTTGTCGACATCGACAACCTTGCTTGGAAGATGTCGGCTTCTGATTGGTCAGCCTTGTCACCCGGTTCTGCCTTCTACCCATCACAGCCTTGCAGCACGTTCGACCAATTGGCGTCGTGATGACGTTGGGACGTCCCCCGTGTAAAAAAGGAACCTCGGTGGATACCCCGGCAGTTGCAGAAAGTTCGATTTTTCACTTTGCGGTGGTTTTTTGAGGGCGAGACGGGATTGGATTATGTAGTCGGTATAATAGCGGTACATAGGGGACTGGGGGGGGTTGGGGGGAGGTCTCTCTTCTCAATCCATCCATCCCTCCCTGGTCTCTTTCAAAGCATCATCAAGTTTTACCCAAGTTTGCAAAGTTGTTTTCCTCCCTCTACCCGATCCCTAAAATAGACAGCAAGGACACCCACTAAGTCGGTAATAGAGCCAGCCAGCCAGCCAGCCAGACAACAAGCCGAGTCATGCCGCTTCCAACCGGAGTATATCGCGCCGACCAGGTCGGGTCGCTGCTACGGCCCAAGGAGATCCTCGCGGCGCGCGAGAAAGTGGCCGCGGGCGAACTGTCCAAGACGGACCTCCGGCAGCTCGAGGACAAGCACATCGCCGACGTGGTGCGGAAGCAGCTCGACGCGGGCCTGCGGGCCATCACCGACGGCGAGTTCCGACGGGCTTTTTTCCACCTGGACTTCCTGCAGCACCTGGACGGGATCGAGGTGCGCGGCAACATGATGTCGACCAACACCTCCAAGGGCGGGTTCGCGCCGCCCAAGCTGATCGTGACGGGCAAGCTCGGCCACAGCAAGCCCATCCAGGTCGACGACTTCCGGTTCCTGGAGCGGCAGATCGCCGCGGCGGGCGGGGAGGGCGTCTTCGGCAAAGTCTCGTCCAAGGTGGCCATCCCCAGCCCGACCATGGTGCACTTCCGCGGCGGGCGCGAGACCATCGACCTCGACGCCTACCCGTCCATGGACGCCTTCTTCGACGACCTCGCCCGCGTGTACCAGGAGGAGCTGGCCGACCTGTACGCCGCCGGGTGCCGGTTCGTGCAGCTCGACGACACCAACCTCGCGTACCTGTGCGACCCCAAGATGCGCTCCGAGGCCGAGTCCCGCCACGGCGCCGATGCCCGCCAGCTCGCCAGCCAGTACGCCACGCTGATCAACCGGGCCATCGAGAAGCGGCCGCGCGACATGACCATCGGCATCCACCTGTGCCGCGGCAACCACCGCAGCCAGTGGTTCGCCCAGGGCGGCTACGAGCCCGTCGCCGAGGTGCTCTTCCGCGACCTCGACGTGGACGTCTACTTTTTGGAGTACGACGACGCCCGCTCCGGCGACTTCAGCCCCCTGCGCCACCTCCCGCCCCACAAGGTCGTCGTGCTCGGCGTCATGACCAGCAAAAAGGGCGACCTGGACGACAAGGACGCCATGGTCCAGCGTCTCCGCGAGGCCGCAAAGTACTGCCCCGGCGGTATCGACCAGCTCTGCCTCAGCCACCAGTGCGGCTTTAGCAGTACCATGGAGGGCAACGAGTTGACCGAGGACCAGCAGTGGGACAAGATCCGGCTCGAGGTCGACATTGCAAAGACTGTGTGGGGGCCCGATACCGCGCAGTGATTTCAAATCTGTGACCAAAACGTCTGTGACTACTCTCACAGAATGGGAAAGGAGAGAAGCGAAGGTGGGTGAGAAGGGGGGGGGGGGGGGGGAAGGAGAGAGAGAGAGAGAGAGAAGAGATGCAGCAGGAACGAGGCGTTAGGTTTGCGCAAGCGACGCACTTCCTAGCACTTCTTCTGGGTCTTCCTCGACTGGCTCGGGCTCGCACTCGCACTCGCAGGAGGCTTTATGCTTCTCAGTAGAGAGCTCGAGATGGAAAAGGCATGGAGAGATGGACAGAGGGACAGTTCATGGAAGTGACCCGTTTTCAACAACGGGATCAAGATGGATGAGGATGGATCGATTGATGGATCGATTGATGGGATGAGGGACGCATGGAAGGGACGGGGCGGGACGAGACGAGACGGGGTAAGGATGAGAAAGGCATACTTTCTCTGCGCAGATTGAAGGGGCCGAACGAAAAGGCAGGAATGGGAAGCCAGACCTATCCAGATCAGGTGATGGGACGGAGGAACCAGGAATCTCTTCAACATTGATTGATACCCAACTCCCCACGACTATGAAGAAGTCGAGTATATTGGCCTCACCCAAAATAGAAACAATATCGTCACCAGGCCATCAAGCATGATTCTTTCATTAGTAGTTCTGACCAGACCTCCAGACCCAGAAGGGTTGCGGGAAGAGAGAAAGAGAAAAGAAACAATCCCTCTCTCCCTCTCCCTCTTTCCACACCCCTCGCGGTAGATGGCCAGTCTCTATGGCTATTGTATATTTTACCACTTCTCAAATGTCTTGACCTCGATCCACCGCCCGAACCGCACGACCAACTTGTCCGCGCGCGTGAAATAGTCGGCCGCCCAGATCACGGCCGCCGTGCCCACGACTTCAATGACGAAACACGCAATGGCCGACTCGCCCAGGTGGACCTCGCGCCAGGGGTTGAGGATGGGCTTGAACAGGCTCTCGAGCACGATGATGTGCATGGCGTAGATGCCGAACGACAGGTCGCCCAGGTACTGCGAGAAGGACCACGTGAAGGGGGTCTGCAGCATCGGTGAGTTGTCGAGCCCCAGCACCAGCAGGCCCGCCCCGATGCTCACCCAGAACGTGTACATGGCCTCACCATACTGCGAGGGCACCAGGCCCAGGAGCGTCGGCCACGGCGCGGGCAGCTCCGTGTTGCTGTCCGGGTCGTCGGGCTGGCTGAGTAGGTAGAAGCCCGTCGCCGATACTAGGCCCCAGCCGATCTTGGAGGCGAGCCCGTGTCGTCGTCGCCCCAACAGCCACCGCCGCCAGGTCGGGGTGGGGATCGGTTTCTCAATACTGCTGCTGCTGCTGGGTTCCTGAGCAGCAGGACCTGGTGGCGTTGGTAAGACCAGTCGTCGGCCCAGGCGCTCGGGATGTCGAATTAGCGACAGGTCCGCAATGAACATGCCGATCAGGAACTCGGCAATGTAGACGGCCCGCCAGTAGTAGGACAGAAGCACCACCAGCCACAGAAACACCATCCGCGACCGACTCGAGAGTTTGCAGGCCGCGGCACAGAAGACGAAGAGCGCGATGCTGCCCCGATACTCGACGGGGATGGTCCACATCTGGTACAGGTACCTCGAGCGAAACGCCCAGCCGTGGATCCAGCCTTGGATGTTGGCAAACGGGTCACTCGACTCCAGCCAGTCCTGGAACCAGTCCCAGACCTGCTCGAGGAATGTTTCTTTACGATCAGACGCGTGTGGCCAGAACCACCCCAGCTGCGTGAGCACCATTGCCACGAACGTCGCCACCCCGGTCGATCCGTACAGCCGGAACCAGCGCCGGAACGTCGAGGACGCAAGGCTGTCGAGCAGCTTGATCGGGTCTTTGTTGCGGATCGCTTTCAACATGCGGTAACTGAGCACGTAGCCCGAGATGACGAAGAACACGGCCACCATGCCGGGGCCGCCGCGGAAAAAGACGCGGAAGAAGGTTTGTTGGAAGAGCCATATGCTAGGGAGCGGAAAGGAGTGATAGAAGAAGACGATCAAGGCCGCGTACCCGCGCAGAGCATCGAGGTATGCCGTGGGAGGCAGTTCGCCCTTACTGCGACCACCGGGTTGAATGTATTTCGGGAGAAGGCTGACGAGGAGTCGTAGCCAGAGTCGGCAGAACTGAGTCCATTGTTTGGATAGCCGGTGCTCGGGAATGGCCAGGACGCTTCGTGCAAGACTGTTGCTGTCGCATGGACTATCTAGATCCTCGAGGAGGGGGATAGCCTGCTCGAGGGTCGACGGCATGGCTGGTCATGGACAAGGACGCGACGGTGTGTGATTCCCCCTGGCTTTTCGTGACTCTTTGTTGAAAGGCGGGAGAGTCTTGCAGGGCAGCGAGGAGGAATAGGAGGATTTCTGTGATCAGTGAAAGAAGGGAAAACGAGAAAAGTCGCTGAAAGGGAGAAAATGCAATTCCATCGAATTGACTCGAGTCCATCGTTACCCCCTGTGTTGAATGTTTGTCGTTGGTAAAATACATGAACTCTATCGTCTACGGTACGAACCCTTAAAAGGTCTTGCATCCGAAAACATTGTTTCTTGTTATAAATCGCTTGTGACTGCCGAGCCGCTAGAGAGACGCTACGCTGTTAGTGTCTCCCAATCTGTATGTGAGAGACAGTTAGTGTGAAGCTCTAACGTGAAGCTTGCTTGACCTTAAACCTTCTTGCGGAACGTGGGATTTGAGACGCGCATCCAGAACGCGTAGAATGGCAGATGAATACGAATCCATCGATCAACTACCGTCATCTTAAAATGTCTTTTGCCGTCAGAAATCTTACAGGTATAATCTCGTAATCTATCAAAATAACATTGCGTGTCTGGGCGCGTAATGAAACCTCCATAAGTTGGCATCCACGTCTCGACATAAGGGGGCATGCAAGGGAGAGCGAGCACAGACGTGCTTGGCACATTCTTGGAGTGGACGGGATCTTGAGGCGATCAGTTCATCATTCATCCCTTGCTTGGAGACCATCCGTGGCAAAATAAGCCAGAGCCCAGGATATTTGTCCTGTACGCATAGACTCCCTGTTTGTCCACTCTTGACAGTCTAGGCCTCATCCAAAAGGCAAGTGACAGGGTCATCATCGCTCAAAAGTGTCATCAGGCGGGTGATCAGAATCAGCCAAGTAGCTTGCGGTGTGGCCATGTGTTGGGATGCCACGATGCAGACAAAGAACCGTCACCTTTTCCGCGATGTTCAGTCAGTGGCTTGGCCAAGGCGGTCAATTTCCACCCTCGACAGCCTCATCGCTTTTCTCCAACTTTTTGATTCTCTCCTTGAGCCTCGTATTATCATATTTGGAGACAAACTTACAGCTGTTCCCATGTTGCATGTCCCAACTGCCGTCTCCACCATGTGGTCTGAGGATGGCAGCCTATACGGAACTTTGCAGCCACCGATCCGTGCCCAACACGGTGAGTCAGGTGTCCGGATCTTAGGGGCCCGTGAATGAGACTCTCTGCTGGTCAGCAAAGCCTTGTTGTGGTCGATGAGAGAGTTTCTGCCTGCTGATGCGTCAATGAGCATCCAACAAGGGTGAGTAGTGATTGTATAACAACAAGACCAAGTCTGCAAAAATTGTGCCCAGGTCGTCTGATCCAAGCAGGTTCAGGAGCCAACTCGAAACAGCATCAACTTCGTATTGATACAATGTCTCCCAACGGAACCAATGGGACGGTCGAGCCCAAACATGGCAAGATGATCACCCAGAACGAGTATATGCCAGACTTGCCCGCCAAGCATCTCAATACACCTGTTCAAGTCACTCCATCCCCAGAGGAATTGGCTGCCGGCCAATTCAATGACGCCAATATCAAGCTGTTCCTCTCCGGGATGCATCGAGACGGTGTGGTTATCCTCAAAGATGTCATCAACCCCGATCACCTCGATGTCATCAATGAATTTATGGTCGAGGACACCAAGAAGGAACTCAGCAAAGAGAACCTCTACAAGAACTTCGGGGCCGAGAACATTCAACAGGGCCCTCCGTTGAGTCCGTCAAAGTACTTCTTCAACGACGTCTATCTGAACAAGCTGCTCTTTCACGCGGTGAATCTTTACCTGGGACCGAACGCGACGTGGAATATGGTCAGTGGCAACAACGCCTTGCCTCATGGCGTCAAGCGGCAACCTGTGCATTCAGACGCCATGTGCAATCACCCGCCAGCACCTTTCTACGTGGTTGCCAATGTCTATACCTGTGACGCCAGTCCGGCCAACGGCTCGACAGAAATTTGGCTCGGGACACATCATTTCAACACCGAGGCCCAGACACCGCCCGGCTCAAAGGGCGAAACTCACATCACAGACGAATACGTTGCCGAGAGACAGAAAACATTGCCTGGAATTCAACCCACGGTGAAGAAAGGTTCGATCCTCTTCCGAGACATGAGACTGTGGCATGCCGGAGTCTGCAACAAGTCTGACGACATGCGATTCATGATCGCCTTGGGCTTTTCGGCGAGCTGGTGGCACGGCACTGCCAAGTTCAGAGTTCCCGCTGGGACCGGTGTGTATGAGCGCATCATCCACGGCACCAAGGGACAAGGAATCACGCCTTTGATGATTGAGCTGCCGCCCGAAGAGTATGAGAGATTGCGTGATGCGCATGACTTTAGTGATGTCGAAAAGATGACCTACGAAGGTGAAATATTTTAGATGTGTGGTAAAAACGGGAGATTGGCAGTGAAGGGTGTAAGATGGGCCCTGTATATTCCATCTCTGCAGCCAGAGGCGACTCGACAGCTAGATTCGCCATTGGGAGTCACGAACAAGAACAAGAAGTATATTGTGAGCGGTCTGTCAAGATTCCCTAGTTGGCTGTAAGAAGATGAAGCCCTAAAGGCCACCTCATACCTGTACCGCACAAGGCTGGCCGCAAGCCTTGTGGTTGTAGCCAATCGGCAGCGTCAACATAATTCCGCATCACGTGTACGGAATCTCAACATCCCTTTCCCGGATGGCATCGACTATTGTCCATATCTCTGGCTTCGCTATTGTTTATTCTCGACGTCAACCCTAGCGAATCAGGTTGCGCGCTCGACAGACCCAGAACAGAAATGATTGCATTGTTCCTTCCGCACATACTGATAGCTACACTTCAATGGCTTCCGGTATCAAGCTCCAGCAGGAAAGGGGCAATGGCACGTATGATTGCTGGTGCGTTCCTGATGGTTGCCGTACCCGTATAGATAGTCAATCGCAAAGCACAAGTTCCTAGCCGCAGTGGTCAGTCAATACAATATGCCCATGCCGACCCTTCGCTGGCCCCAAAGAACATCGCAGAGTAAGTCTGTCTCTAACCAAGAATATGCGCGCTGTCGTGATATCCATTGTTGCTGTCCTCACCAGTAGCGTCTGGGCCCTTCCCGCTGCGTCGCCCGTTCGAGGCCAGAATGTGAACTGTTTTCCTTTCGGGAGTGCCTCATTCAATGGCTCGCTCCAAGCACCCAACGTGACCAGGAAGGAGTGGTGGTGCCCTCAATCCATGACCTATGGATTCCTCGGCTTCTCCTATCCCATGGAAGGGGAGTGCTACGACGACAGCTTTGATCGCATCAACGCCGACTTGCAGCGCCAGAAACGTGATTTTGGAGCAAGTTTGATCAGGGTTTACCTGCCTTATTGCTACACCACGTACATCTGGGAGAATTTGATCAAAGCAGCTGTCGCCAATGATATGGGAGTTGTTGCCCAAGTCGCCTGGCCTCTGAACGGCGATCCCGTATGTTTGGAACCCTTGGTCGCTGTCATTTGTCTGCTCAAACTTGGCTACAGCTTGAATACTGGCAAAAGATTGCCAGCTCCATTATCGAGATCCTTTCAAACAGCACCTACAAGGACATCGCGCCGTACGTGTTTCACAGCATTGAATTCGGTACCGAACCGATCGGCGATCAGGACGACGGCGACAATTTCATCAATGACCTCATTGACTTCAAGGCGGCAGTGAAACCCTATGGCATTCCAGTCGGCATCAGCGAAGACTGGGACCGTCCTGGCATCTTATGTAGCAACTACACAGCAGGCAAAGCACCGGGTCTCGGTCCTGTTGGGAGGCAGATTCTTCCGCAGAGCGATTTTGTCCATGCTCATATCATGCCGTACTACCACGGATACAATATCTCTGGATCCTGGGACTATATCAGTGACCAGGTACACTGGTACAAGAACTACACGCCTGTTCCTCTTGTCATCTCCGAGGTAAGATCTCTCCAGCGCTTCAACGCCGATACAGGACTGATTCTCAATTCCCTCTTAGACACAATGGGCATGGGAGCTCAACGTTCTACACCAGGGCAGCAAAGACATTGGTGCTCCGCAGTACACGACGTTCTGGAAGACGTACGACGCCAACTGCCAGTTCTTTAAGAAAAACAACGTAGGCTGGTTCTTGCACGCGTGGAAGTGGGAGGGGACCTTCAATATGGTTACCCCGAACAATTCGTATGCGATTCCGAATTGGAGACCGCAGACGTGTTAGACTGAGGGTTGAATGTTGCTGGACACTCTAGAAGTGGCCGAGGGACGAGGGAGTAAGGAGGGGAGGGCCCGAAGGTAGTATAGTCCAGTAGTATACAGTTAGTCATCCAAACACTGCTCAGAGCACGGATCACAATCAGAAATCCAGATCTGAACATTGGCATATACTAGTGAAGTAGCTCGGCCTACCTGTACAAGCAGATAGGTAGATAGATACTTTCAACTAGTTAATTGACTAGCCGTGTACAAGTAGTATCCACCGCGCCGTCGCTCATCGTACGACTTGCGAGTGCGATTCCACCCAAGCGAATACTACCCTGACTTATCGCGTGCCCCCGCCGCCTCGACTCAAATCGACATGAGACGGCAAAAGATACAGTGCCATCCGCGTCCCATCCTGGCGTCCCGCCACCGTGATCAGCCACGGGACACGGGCTACGGACCACGGAGACCCACGCAGTCTTTGTCCGCGTACTCGTGTGCCCGTCCACGATGATGCGAGCACGAACACGGGGTAGGTAAACTTCACCTTCTGGAACTGGACCGCAGTGTACCAGTCGAGTGAGAGGCTGTCTTGACTGTCTACCTGTGCTTGAGGTCCCAGATGCAATGGGTAATGGGTAACGGGTCTATTGTCGCTTGTCTGTGACGGGGCTGGGGTGGACCCTTGGGGAGTTGCTTCATACGGTAGGTCCATAGAAGGTACACAGTAGGGTACTGTATATACTTCCATCCACTGCAGGTCAGGTGTATACACTGACTCGGCGAGGACTTTGTCCCAGAGCTGTCATTTGCGAGCGATTGGTTTTCTCGAGTGGTATGTACTCGTTGGAGATCGCAAAAGAGCAACCGCTTTCAGCAGAGAGAAATACGTTAACATTGTCGGGTTGTCAATTGTCCAACCCCCAGCATAGCATATAGCAGGCAGCCTCAAAGCATATCAACTATCAATCATACTCAGGAGATCAGACCGTCATCGGTAAAGAGATGGGCTCCATCACTCTTGAGCCCGACACCACCACCACCACCACCACCACCTCCTCCGCAGACGACTCAATCATCCACATCGTCCACTTCCGCTTCTACGCACACATCCCCCCCAGCACCCGCGCCTCCATCTCGCACCAATTCCTCGCCCTCCAAACGCGCTGCCTCTCCCCCGCCACGCGCAAACCCTACATCCGCTCCTTCACCGGCGGGCGCGACGTCAGCGTCGAGGACCTGCACCGCGGCTTTCATGCAGTCTTTGTCCTCGAGTTCGCGTCCCGCGAGGACCGGGACTGGTACGTCCACGAGGATCCGGTGCATCGGGGCTTCGGCGTCGAGGTTTTGACGGGTGTGGTCGAGGAGGTCATGGTGGTGGATTTTCAGCGGGGGAGGTTTTGATTCCAACCCAACACGATTCTAATTCTGCGAGAATTGGGGATCGGCAAGAGGGGGGCTCAGGGCTCCTCTGGTCGAGAAATCAATAAATACAGCAAAGATTGTGCGACTATGCGACTATGCGATGGGGAATTAGATTTGGAGAGGTGAGATGTGGGATTGAATGTAAAAAGATGTGTTTGTTTTGCTGTTGCAATTTAATTCCTGGTTCTGTGGGTAATTATTGCCTGGGTGGCATAACAACCAGCCAACCAGCCACCCACAAACTCACAAAGCCATGCAGGCATATTATGGTCGTGGGGACGACAGGCTATAGGATAGGAATAGACATGAGGAGAGTCGAGTCGAATGCAAAAGAGAAGTCGTATGCTTATTACTTTAGACCAACGGAAGGGAATGCCCTCGCTGAACGATGCAATTGTTCGTATTGTGCAAACTATGAGACTCACATTTCCAAGCACGTCTTGGTCGGATACATATAGACAAGGCACATCTCTAATCTCACTCTGCGATTCGGTACCATCTGCCCATCGACACGTTATCACCTTGCACACCCACCCGCCACCTCTGTCACGTCTCAAACCTCGACTTCTCGCGCCTCGGTGATCTTAAAGTCCCTGAACTTCCGCGCTGGAATACCCGCCTCAAACATGTAGTCGAGCTCCTCGTACGTGCGTCCCTTCGTCTCGGGCAGACGGAAGAAACACCAGATGGTGGCGATGGTGCTGAGCCCGCCAAAGAAAAATCCCGTCTTGCCTCGCCAATTGCCCGAGGACGCGTTGAGCATGTACGGAACCACGACGGTCATGATGATCTGGGCGATGGAGCCAGTGCTCGTCGCCAGAGCGACCGTCTGGGAACGCAAACGCGTGGCGCCAATCTCTGCAAAGATGACAAAGTTGATGGGTCCGACGGTGCCCTGGAACAGGAACGTCAGGATGTCGAGGAGAGCGGCCTGCGCCCACGCCAGGCCAGGACGCGAGGTGTAGTGTGGGACGCAGTCCAGAATGCCAATGATGAAGAGTGACACGGCCATCATGCCCACCCCATACATGTAGATGGTCCTTCTGCCGAAGAAGGACATGAAGACCCAAGAACAGCAAGTGGCCACGAAACCGATGGCGGTGTTGCCGACTCCCATGTCGAAAGAGGCGCTGACAGGCAGGCCAGCCAGCGTAAAGAAGTAAACGGCATAGCCAATCAGTGAGATGCCAGTGATGACTTGGAAGATCTGGACCATGATGGCGACCTCGGTGCGAGCACGATTCGACGCCCGGAAGCATTCGATGAATGTTGTGTCCTTTTCCACCTCGATCTCGTGCATCGTAGTCGTCTCAATGTTTGCGAGCGTGGCTCTGATATCGATTTTGGGTGACTCTCTCGCAAGTCGTCTCAGCGCCTTCTCGGCCTCTTCCACCCGACCCTTGCGCACAAGCCACCAAGGGCTCTCCGGAGCAAAGATGAGGCCGAAAGCAAGAATAGGAATCCAAATATACTGAATCGCAAAAGGGATGCGGTAGGCCCATTGGTCAGCCCTCTCCGAAAACCCTTTGCCAACCCCCGAAGCGACAAACTGTCCAATGACATAGGCGAGGTTCATCCCAGCGTTCAGGATGCCGCGCAGAGCCAAGGGACATACCTCCGACGCGTATGTCGGGGCCAGGACGACGTAGGTACCATAGAGAATACCCGCGAGGAATTCACCTGCCGCCAGGGTGTGAATATTGTTTGCAAACATCTGAAGAAAGATGAAGGCAGTGCTGAAAAAAAGGGATGCCCAGAAGACTTTCTTTCGGCCCCATCTCTCCATCGGCCACGAGGCGGTAAAAGCTCCAAGAAATTGGCCCACAGGTGTTCCCATGCCGAGCACATTCTGCCATTTCGCGGACACCTCGTAGCCAATGTCACCCCCGTAGTTAGTGCCGTACTTCTTGACGAAGGCTGGAAGGGCATAAAAGCTGTAGATTAGGCCTGAATCATAGCCGACCATGACCTATATCTCGTTAGGACGACGTCTTTGTGTTCTGGTCTGCCCTTTCAGAGTGTAGAGGGCTTGCTAGGACCGCGGGACTTACCAACGACCAGGCGAATAACGACGCCCAAAAGACCGCCATAGGATAAAGTTTGACAGCTTCAATGACTCCAAGCGAGTGCTCAATATGAGTAGCAATCTTTGACTGCTCCAACAGTTCGGCATGGTGTTCCTCTTTGACGTTGGTGACTTCACCTTTCGTGTCATCTTTGCGTGAAGACATGGTGGAGTTGAGGTAAGATTCGTTGCTGATGGAGGTGTTCCTGGATCTCTCCGGTCATCCACAAATATCTGAGTTGCCGAATCTATATTAAAGGTACGAATTGCTGTGGTCTTGTGTCCTCGGACGAAGGAACTATCAGCCCGTCTATCTTTCAGCGTCGGCTTGAAGCATCAAGATAAGGACTCGCCACCGTAGTAACGGTAGCAGTTCACTTATCTGAAGCTGCTCGATAGTATAGAAGTCGAAATGGTGCTACGGCATGTTGGATGCAAACGACCCTGGCCAGAGCACCCCGGCTACCGACCCGCCTGATAAAGACACGGATCCACGGCATCCTGCCGGAATGCGACCTCCGTGTCGTCAATGGCTGAATCAATGCCTATCGCTCGACTATTTCCCCGGATTTCATGGCTCGTGACCACGCTGAGGGTCTTTGAGAGGCAGCCATGCTAATCAGGTTAATTGGACTGGTGGATGGATAGTGGAGCTTTTCGGAGGGGTCGTTTGCCGTTTCAAGAGCTTCTCGAGGAAGGGATTTTGTTGGAGAGTCGGAAGCAAGAACTCATTTGTTGGGTAATTTCTCAAGTGCGCCGGTGAGTGCCCGAAGATTATCAAAAGCGCCGTGGAGGATCTGCTATTTTATTAGGCGCAGACACTACCAAGTTCTGCCAGTCAATCAGTCAATCAGTGCGAGTTGCTGCCGAGGACGAGGTTCCCAGTGCGGGGAGCGTGTTATTGATAAGCCGGATAAGGATAAAAGGCCAGCGCCTTCCTATTTGTGGTTAGTGTACGAATCACATGTCAAAGCCAATCCGAACCAATGAGTCGCAGTCATTTTCTCAGTCAGTGTCGACTGCGCCAGACATCCGCTCTTTTCTCACCTCCACGTCTGCCTCTAACAATCGTGATAAACACTCTATTCACGCTGCACCGACTCGTCACCACAGTCACTACGTCGATGCTGTCTCAAGCCTGGCGCTCGCCACGACGGTCTAGATGTAGGGGCAGCAGCGAAATCGGGTGAATTTGTGCTGCAATCTCCGCCATGTTCCTGAGGATTATCGCCATCGGGCGTTGTCACCACCAGTTCCGAGTCTTCTGGGTCAAGCTGTTATGATGGCGACAAATCAACATCCTACACAGCAGGAATTTGCACTCGTTGAGACGCGTACGCCACCTAGGACACTTGCGCATCAGTCTGGGGTCCGAGATGCTCGAATCAAAACGGCTTGTGCCGAATGCAAGCGAAGGAAAACCAAGTGCGACGGCACGCACCCCTGCTATTCTTGTCGATGGTACAAGCAACCCGAGAGATGCATCTATACCTTCTCACGTCCTGCGCTTGTCCTCAGTCGAAAGTGAGTTTTCCAACTGATGCATTTGACATGTCCCGTGCGGTGTGAGTAACCGAGACAAGAAACTTCGAGTCTGTTCGCCAACGTCTCGAGACCACGACCGAAATTCTCGCAAAGCTGTTCCCGTCACCATCGGTTGATGCCCTCAGTGGACTCTCCCGCGAAGAACTACTGCAACGAATTGGCTTAACATTCGAAACTGTGGCGTCCCCAGTGGCACCCAACCAAGGTAGTCTTGCCATCAGCAACCTAATACCTGTTGAGTCTCGACCTCAAGATCGCGATGATCACCTCATGGACCAGAACGATACTGTTCGCAGTGCTATCCTAGAATCTCAGCAACAGGACGATGTTCCATCTGAAGCCGGTGACGACGTGAATGCCCTTTCGGCAACAACAATTCAGCCTTCATCTTACGTTGGGCCCTCTTCGACGATGCAAATGTTCCGTACGATACTCAGAATTGCCCCTGAATCGGTGGGCCAGCAACAGCCAACACACAGTCCAGAAACCAGTCAACGTAGTGCGTCTTACCGTTCTCCCGAGACCAGCCACAAGACACCACCATCCCTCCAAATGACTGAGAGAATTGGTACGTTGATCGACGCCTATTTTCACTGGATTGACCCTGCCACCCCTATCCTTGACCAGGCGGAATTCAGGAAGATCGCCTCTACCGGTACTCGCAACGACGGTCCATGGCTTTGCCTCTTCAATATGGTATTGGCCCTGGGATCCATTGGCTGTACGACGACGGACTCCAGGGAACACCTCAGCTACTACCATGCTGCAAAGTCACACCTGGACATAGAAGGCCTTGGAAACAAGAACATTGAGACGCTGCAAGCTCTAATTCTCATGGCTGGCTGGTTTAATCATTATCGCAATCGACCGAATCTTGCGTCTGCACTTCTCGGAGCAGCATTTCGTATGGCATATGCATTGGGACTTCACAAAGAACAGCCTAATAACAACTCATCTGTTGAGCATCAGGCCCTGAGACGGAAGATCTGGTGGAACCTGGTTGTCCTTGATTCGGCCGAGGCCGTGACATTGGGCCGTACACTGGATACCAAGATCTTTGAGAGCGAGGTGAAATATCCCCAAGAGATCTTACAAGATGTAAGTCCTTGATATAAGGGCGTAGCTCCCGACGCCGGATATCAGGGGTGACTTACTAATTGTTAAATTGTTGACAGATGCCTGATGCTGTTGAAAGTCCATCTTCTTCCTCGGCTTTGGCCATTACTATCGGCTTCTCACGCATCATGACAGAGATACAAAGCCGGTTGATGGCTTCAAATACTGTGCCGTTTGCCGAACTCCTCAGCCTCGATGCACACCTTGTTGATTGGTACGAAGGTCTGCCGACATACTTTCACAAACTAGTCGGAATGGGTGCTGTTATGTCGGATTCATCGGGTTCGAAACGCTTTGTGCAGCCTTTTTTGACCATCAGATGGCGCTATCTGAATCTCAGAATGCTATTGTATCGGCCGAGTCTTATGGAGGCGGTCCTCCACAGAATCCCTTTAGGTGGGCTTACATCTGATCAGCGGTTGTGTGTACGAAAGTGTCTGACGCTGTCCGGGGAGACCATTGATTCGGTGAAAACTAGGTCGTCGGAGTCGCCGAACCAATACATTGCCTGGCCGTCGACCTGGTACTTGTTGCAAATCTGCATGATCCCACTACTCAGCTTGTATGTGTTTCGCGCGGATCTTGGTGACCATGGTTCGCAGGCCGAACCTGCTTACCATCTACCTTTTAGACATTCAGGCAGTGTTAAAGACCAGGTTCGACAAATTCGAGAAGAATGTCACAGGCAAGTTCGGACTACGCTGAGTTTGATGAAAGAAATGGAGCCATGGGCTGTGGCGTCGACCAAAATGCACGGCTTGATCACGCACCTATACGAGGCGAGAGACCAACACTTGCGCGTTTGGAACAACAACGACGAAAGCCCTATGATCGTGCTCGGGTCCCCTGATAACTCATCAATGCAGGCATCGGATGCGACGAATGCACGACAACCGCAAGCTGATGATGCGAACATGAACATCGGCGCCAATCCGAGGACTGTCAACTTGTTACAGACTGAAGGGGCAGTAGTTCCGTCAACGGGTGTGAACTCAGCGGTCACAATGACCCAGTATAGCATCGGAGTACATAATAACAACGCAACTGTGAATCCGACAGAGCAGTTTTCCAGAGACTTTTCGATTTACAACAGCTTCGCATGGCCAAATGCGACTTTGGAAAGCCTTTTCGACTTGCCGGATGACTTTCAGTACATGAACCAAGGCATGTTTGGCTTGGGATGATGCACTGGATATACCGCACATAATGCAATCGGCCAACGACCCACATCCCTATCCTCTAGGATGTTTGGTCACTGGAAATTTACGCCTGATTCACCGCGCACTTTTGGTGGCCTATGAAAGGGCCTTCATACTGCAAAAACCGTCAAAATTCATGTTCTTGGGGAATATCAAACTACTCTAGTAACATATACCACTCGGAGACGGATTTTCCCCACTTCTCGGCACGAAAGGCAGTCGTTAAATTTCAGGCTTCGCAAAGAGGTCAGATGATGGAGGATCTGCTTGAGGTGACTTCACCTACCAACCGGTCTCCTCCACTGCCAGCGTTTCGAGAAAGACCGCGGCTGTGTGTTTGGGTGGAGAGTGGAAGCACAAGCTCAGGCTCTTAATGCCGTAAGACGGTAAGATAATGTCCTACCCTCCCCTTGATTTTTCCTAATGTTTTATGGTGCAGTATTATGAAAATACTTTATCGGTCAAATCGAAGGGACATAAAGCGACACAACGGCTGCGGTGGGAATCTCAAGCAATCCTGGCTGACCTTTCCATGGAAGAGCTTGTTCTGTCTGATCGTGTATTATATCATATACATGTCAACTTCCTTGCGTCGCTAGCTCGCTGGATTTCGAGTCATCTAGAATCCAGAGCCAACACGTATTTAACCACAAGACTCTGTGGCTATGCGATTTTCATGGCCTGTTAGCGCTGCAGGAGAGTAAATGCCGCATACATCTATCTATATTATAGGGCAGTCTCTCCAAATGCCCAAATGCAAATGGTATGGAGATAATTGTCATGGACCTCCACCATGGAATTTCTACTTCATCCGGGACCTGTATGAGCTGACGAGGTACTTGGAGTTGGTGTAATGCCCGCAGGTCTCCACCCTTGCGCTCCCTGAGAAACCCCATCATCGGATCCTTTGCCGATGTTCCCGGCCTATCCCCAGAAATGCCTTTTACATATGTACACACGCAGAATTCACAGTACGAGTACGTGACAGGAGTCTACGATACCCAGATAGACAATCGGACAACTTTAGCTCTCCCTCCGCGCCTAGAGTACTGGTAGATGCTCGACTTTGTGGTGCTTTCACGAACAAGTACGAGGTATAGAAAGGAAAACCAAAAATACCAGTGGTGTACATATATCCAAGTCCAGCTGCAGCAAGCAAACCATCATGGGAGAAGACGCAACGCAGGCTTCTGATAGTGGCAACACTCTTATCCTCGAAGGACGGCCCGAGTCTGAGTACACGCCCCTTTTACAGACGCGGAAACAGGCCCGTCTGGTATGTCTGGAAGAGCACGCCGTGTCGCCGTACCCCACGCCGGCGATCTCGTCGACATTTGGAGTCTTCAAGCCCTCGTATGTGGCCGGGCTCAAGGACCGGCTGGGCGACATTGCCCTACGGGTCAAGATCATGGACGCCAACAACATCGGCGCGCAGGTCATTTCGATGAATCAGCCGACGGCCCAGGCGTTTGTGGACCTGGAAGAGCAGCTCGAGTGGTGTCGCAAGTCGAACCAGTTCGTCTACGAGAACTACTGTCAGAAATACCCCGATCGGTTCTTCGCCTTTGCGACGTTGCCGACGCAGAGTGGCGAGACTGCCGCGGTGGAACTGGAGCGCTGTGTCAATGAGTACGGCTTTGTCGGGGCCATGATCAACGGCTTCACAAACACCGCGGACCCTACCAAGGGGTTGTACCTCGATGATCCGCAATTTGACAAATTGTGGGAAGTCTCCGAGCGCCTTCAAAAGCCCATCTTCATCCACCCCCGCGTGCCGCTGGCCAGCAATATCAAAGTGTTGGAGGATATGCCCATCTTCCACGGCGCCCCATACGGCTTTGGGAGAGAGACGGTCGAGCACGTCCTGAGGCTGATGTACAGTGGTGTGTTTGACCGGTTTCCTAAGTTGAAGATCTGTCTGGGTCATATGGGCGAGGGGTTATCTTGGATCCTACCGAGAACGGACTCCACGTTCCGTCTCTATAATGCTGGTAAGTGTGGTGACCTTTTATTCTTCAACCCTAGCGCCGAAAATTCTTTTCACATTCAAGCTGCGGCTGACTGGTCACCCCAGAGGCGCAAGGTCCCAAGAAGAAGCGATTTCAGGATTACTTCCAGCAGAACATCCTGCCGAACACCAGCGGGATGCCAAGAACCGCAGCCCTGATGAATCTGATGGCAGAATCGAGAGTGGAGAATATCATGTTTGCCGTGGACTATCCCTATGAATCGATCGCTGAGATGAGAGCCTGGTTTGAGACGGTACCTATATCGGATGAGAACTGGAGGGATATTGGGTACCGCAACGCCATCAGACTGTTTGGACTGCCCCTTGATTATGACTAGTGCCGAGATGTCTATGGTTGCTCGTGGCGAGAAGATCCAGGCGCAAATATCGAGACTGGCCTCTCCAGCTCAGAGTTGATGCACTGGTACACTGGTGTCCCCGGCACAATAATTCTCCGAAAGGAGGTACAGCCTCGCGAAGACCACAAAGAGTCCGAAGGCTGGAGACAGTAGTTGGGACACCTTGGGTGGCTTTGCTGAGTGCGTTGTTACCTACCCAGCTGACCCGTCTTGTCCGTGTGCCCGTCTTCCTTCGGGAGACATGAATAAATGTTTGTAAGCGTAAATGACGGAATGATGCAATATCTCCATGTTGGAAGGCAAGTGCTAGGAAACACTGGGAGGCGCAATCACTGCTAATACAAGCACCGTCAACGCGTTGGTACGTGACTCACAATAGCCAAGATGGATGAATGGGTTTGGGCAGGAACACCGCTTGCAAACTGTGCATCCAATCTTGATTGCCGGTGTGGATGTGAGAGACGTTGATTTGTGAAGTTGAGTGAAGCAGCATTGGCCGGATCGAGATACTGGCACATGATGGGGGCGTGGCCAAAGAAAGGAGCAATGCCGACCCGAGAGAGAACGAGCCTGGCATGTTGTTGCGTTGGAGGGAGATGCCTAGGCTGATTCTAAGCCTACACTGGGTGGCTGTAATGGGCAGCAATTATCATTGTGGACAAAGCGGGAAGAGGGCACGAGGGGGCCCAGGGGTCACCGACTCATCGGGAAGAGCATCCCGGCTGGCAAAACTTTAACTGAAGTTCACGCAGCACCAGGCACCGGCCCGCACGCCTTTAACCTTAGCCCCCGTGCCCCTCATCACAAAGTACCTAGGTAGCCACAGCAGCAGTCCCAAGCACCCCTAGCAGCTCTGTTACCCCTGGCAGGAAAACAAGCAAACCCCCGGCACAGCGGCAGCTGCCGCATACCAAGGTGAAGTTCTGGATCCCTAGACCCCTGAAATTCAACCTCGCCAGCACCTTTTGAGTGTAGATCACTAGGTATCAGTCCATGTCGCAGTTACCAATGATTCGGCTTCTGACCTCACATGCTTCATTATCGCTGTCATGGAGAGTATCTGGAACTGTTGCGGTATTTCCTAATTCTCTCCTTCTTACGAATCAACTCCTCTTCATCGCTGTAGCCACCCAACCGCCTAGTTGTTCTCGTCACATGGGTAAACATAGACAAACATTTGCTGGCCCAACAGGAATCTCGCGATAACCCACAGCCACCAGCAATGCGCCCTATCAGCGACGCAGGGCCCTTAACCGAACCTTTAATCCTCCGCGACGTGTCCGAGCTTCATTTTACCGCTGCTTCTTCGTTTGTACCTTTTGCTGCCCGATGAACCCACAATGGACGACACAATTCCAATTGCTACAAACGACAAGACTGTCACGCTACCTAGTCGCAGGTTTGCCAAAATGGGGACACTATGGTCTAGTTCAAGTATCTCTGCGGCCCTCACCTCTAGAGACTTCTCTCATCTCCATGTTCGCTTAAAAAGGTTCCTGCACATGCAGACGCAAACGTGAAACAGTCCCAGCGTCACCGCCTCTTCGTCCAAACTCTTCTCCACCACACAGTACTTAGTTACACTGCAGCACCGCATCTTTCCCAACCCTCGACATCATGGCATCCGAAAAACGTTTACGACGACTATCCCAGACAAGAGCCCGGCCTCCAGCAGGCACAAAACGGTCCTCGAGCTTGCGAAGGGTATACAACCGCTTCTTTCACCCCGATTCGCCGCTCTCAGAGGGTTCCGACGACGGGTCTCCGGTCGTACCAGACTCCACGCAACCTCCACTGTCAGAGATTGAAATCCTTCAGGGTGAACTGCAGCAATGTCGCCAGAATCTCGAGGAGGCCAGGGAGATGGTCATGTCTCAGGACCACGAGCTGTCAAACTTGGAGAAAAACACCCAAAAGATGGAGAGACGTTACAAGGAGAAAGAGTCTGCTCTACGACGACTGAAAGCTTCGCTGGAGGAGACTATGGTGGCCGTCGTCGTGCAGCAAATCAGAGATGCTCAGAAAGCCGAACGAGATCTCGTCAAGGAAGAGTGCAACCGTGAACATCAGGCAGCTTTGGACAGTGTACACCACAAATACAGGTCAAGAGTCGCCATTTTGTCACAGGAGCTCTTGGACTCTCGCGCAGCGAATGAGCGGATGAAGGTCACCTACGAAAACGAGGTCTCCGCCCTGCGTGCTGAACTCGCCTCTCTGAACACCGATCTCGAAGCCGCAAAGACTGCTATTGTCGAGACTACCGAATCACTCAAAAGCGTCCAACTGGCCTCAACGACGGCACTAGAAGAGACCGAGAAGGCCAACGCAACACTGAGAGCCGAGCTCGAATCCCAAATCGCTTCTCTCACTGATGAATTGAATGCTACCCGTTCAGGCCTACACAATGCCGAACTGAGCATTGAGGATCACACTAAACGGTATGACGACCTCCAAACGACCTCCTCTCGTGCAATAGAAGAGGCCAACACTTCTCTCGCGTCGATTCGGGCGGATCTGGAGGCACAACTCGAAGCACACGTCGCAGAGCTCACTACGACCAAAGACGCCCTCGACACCTCATCTCGGGAGAGGGAGGCCGACCAATCGGCACATCAGATAGTCTTGGACGAGCTTACCAGTGTTCGGAACCAGAATGCTGATCTCACGAACGAGGTGCAAACTCACGTAGAATCAAAGGCCGCTCTGGAAGAGAAAATCGCCCAGCTCGTGCTCGAGCTTGAAACATTTGAGGCCTGCAAACAAGATCTTGAAAGCTCTCAAGCCCGGGTTGCGGATTTAACTACGGAACTCACTACATCGCATGTTGCACGGGAGAGTGCAGAGGCGCAGGTTGCTCAACTGTCTGCCGAGCTCGAGGAATTCGCTCAGCTGAAAGCTGAGCACGAGGTGCAGACACAAGAACTCGAGAGCACCACTGCTAAGGTTGCAGATTTGACTGCAGAGCTCGAACCCTTCAATACCTGCAAGAGTGACCTGGAAGCGGCCCAAACAAAGATTGGCCAACTTTCTGCCGAGCTTGAAGACCACAACCAGCTCAAAGCAGACCATGAATCGTGCAAGCAAGAACTCGAAGACATCCAATCCAAGGTTGCAGATCTTTCTGCCGAGCTTGAGGTCCTGCAAAGTTGCAAGCAGGATCTCGAAGAAGCCGAAGCGAAGATTGGCCAATTGACCGCTCAGCTCGAAGACCATGAGCAGCTCAAAGCGGATCACGAGTCCTCCAAGCAAGAATTGGAGAGCACGCAGGCCAAGCTCGCGGAGCTACAAAGTGAGATCGAAGGAACCAAAAATGCCTTGGACGGAGCCGAGTCACGGATCACGCAACTCACGACGGAGCTTGAAGGATACTCCCAGCTCAAAGAGGACCACGAGGCAGAAAAAGAACGGTCTGCCAACCTGCTTACGGACATAGACCGCCATGTTGCCGCTGTGGCGGACGCTGAAACAAGACACAAAGAAGCAGAGGCACGTGCTACCGAGGCCGAGGAGAAGCATACAGCGGTGCTCGAGGAGCTCGAGCAGCAGAAGACTGCCGCGGCCGAAGCTCACTCTCGTGCTGCCGAAGCGGAAGAGAAGCACGCCTCCGCACTTGGGGAGATCGACCAACATAAAGCCGCCACCGCAGAGGCCGAGTCGCGTGCTGTCGATGCGGAACAGAAACATGCTTCTGCATTAGAGGAGTTGGAAACTCACAAGGCAGCCGCAGCGGAGGCGGACGAAAAGCTGAAAGAAACCGAAGCGCGCGCCGCTGAAGCAGAGGGGAAGCACACCTCTGCTCTCGAGGAGATTGAACAACACAAGGCTGCCACCACACAGGCCGAATCTCGTGCTGTCGAGGCAGAAGACTTGCATAAATCTGTCCTTGCCGAGGTTGAAACGCTGAAGGAAAGCCTTGCATCAGAGACCTCAAACCATGCAACAACGAAAGAACAGAATGAGCAACTCACCAAGGATCTTGAGGATGCTTCCAGTTCTCATCGTACGGCTCAAGCTTCGCTAGACGAGGCATTAGAAACCATAACCTCCCTAAAGGAGCAGGTCCAATCTCTCGAGTCCGAGGTTGCTTCCATTACAGCGTCGAAGCAGGCCGAAGCCGAAGAGCACGAAGCACAAAAAGCCAACCTCACCGAAGAATTGGCCACTGCCAAGGGTGAGATATCCAATCTCGAGGCGGAAAAGGCCAGATTGGCCGAAGCTATCGAGACTGCTGACGCAGCTAAGAAAGAGCTCGAGGAGAAAGTTGAGGGTCTCGAAGCAGAGAGTTCCAGACTTTCTAGCGAGCTTGAAGAGGCCAAAGCGACCGCACAGAAGCAGCTTGAGGAAGCACAAGCGAGCCTTCAGTCGGCGGAAGAGAAATGCACTGGCCTCGAGACAGAGGTAAAGTCGCTTCAAGAGTCTAACGAAGAACTTCAAAATAAATGTGGAAAGCTCGAGGAAGTGGAGGCCGGTCGCCAAGCTGCGGAAGAGAAAGTCAAGGCCTTGGAAGAACAGCTCAAAACGCTCCAGGACTCTCATGACGAATTGACAGCAAAATGCGGAGAGGTGGAGGCCGCTCAGCACAGCGCAGAAGAGAAGGTTGCCACTTTGGAAGGAGAGCTGAAATCAGCTAATGACACCAATGAAGAGCTGACGGAGAAATGTAAGAAGCTTGATGAGCTGGAGGCCGAGCATACTGCTCTCCAAGAGAAATCCGCTGCTCTCGAATCGCAGGTGCATTCAATTGAGGAGGCCAGGGATGAGCTGACGAAGAAGCTTGAGGACGTCGAAAGTGCCAAAGCGGTGGCTGAGAGTGAGGTGGAAAAGCTACAACAAGAGCACGTGTCAGCCGTGGATGGACTTAGACAGGAACTTGCGTCCACCAAGGAAGCCTCTGAGAAAGCCAAAGAAGAGGCGGCAGCGTCTGTGGCAGAACTCGAAGCAAAATTGGCCGCTTCTGAAGCTTCTCACCAGGAAGCTCAGGAATCGCTAGAAAAGGTTCGTGCAGAAGCAGACCAATCCAAGTCCGAAATGGATGACAAGCTCGCTGAGGCAGACAATGCCCTGAAAGCTACTCAAGAAGCTCTGTCAAAAGCACAAGCTGACGCTGATACCTTGACCAGTGAATTTGAGCAGAAACTGGCCGACGCGCAGGCGAAGCAGAGCGCTTCGGAAGAGGAGGCAGCCAAGGCAAAAGAGGAACTTGAGACGAAGCTGGCCACAGCGTTGGCTGAGCAAAAATCCGCCGAAGATGCGCTTGACGAGATCAAAAAGGAAATCGAGACCGTCGCGGAGGCCAAAGCTGCCCTTGAGTCGAAGTTGAGCGAGGCAGAAAGCGCCACCGCCGCAGCCGAGCAGCGCGTCACAGAAACCGAGGCAGCCAAACTCGAGTTGGAGGGCAAGATCAAGGAAGCCGAAGACAACAAAGCAAACACCGAGCAGGAGCTCCAAGCAGTCAGAGACAAGCTGGCTGCAATCCAGGCAGAACTTGAGTCAACCCAGCAGGAGAAGCTCAACATTGCCGAGCAGTCATCGAAAGACCTTGAATCCAAAGAGGCTGAACTAGGCGCGGCTCTGACCTCCAAATCGGACCTTGAGGCCCGACTCCAAGAGACAGAAGCGAACCTAGAAGCTGCCAAGAAGGCTGGGGATGAGTCGAGTGCTCACTTGAAAGAGCTCGAGGCTGAGATCGAGTCCCTCAAGGCTCAAGCGATCGAGGTTAGCAAGCTGTCAGAGGACCTGGAAGCCAAGGAGAAAGCCATCGCAGCTTTGACCACCAGCAAGGACGAAGCCGAGCAGCGGGTAAATGAGACCGAGGCTAAGGTTAGCTCCTTGACACAAGAAATCGAGGCGCTCAAAACATCATCGGAGACATCAAAGGAAGAGGCAGCCAAGCACCTCGAAGCGCGGGAGCAAGAGTTCAAACAACAGTCGGATGAAGCTGCCCAGGAACTTGACAAGCTCCAAGCTGACTTGAAGTCCAAGGAAGAGGCGATTGCAAATCTCAGGGCTCTAAAGGAGAAGATGGAAGAAGAGATGGGAACATTCTCCTCTCCTCCGACGTCGCCTGACCCCGAAGCTATTGAGGACAAGACGTCGACAGTTGCCACGGTGAATGGCGGGCGTGGGAGGAAGAGCCGAAGGAGGAAGTCCAAAGCCAGGGCTACTGATGACAGTGATGCTGCTAAAGGAGATGTGGATGATGAGTGACGACGATATGCCCAGACGAACGATGTTATGTATGATGCGGAGCGCGATGAACAGGATGGGAGTAATGAGGGTCTTACGACATGAACTGGCATGGAGGAGAGCAAAGGGGAGAGTTCAAGGTCAAGGAGTAAAGGTGCATTAGGCCCGAGTTCTTGCATGGTAATACGAGGTACATAGGACAATGGTGCAGGTGGCTGGGCTTTCTTGGACATGCATACATGAAAGCGTTTGACATTTCGAAGTCTACGATCCGCCGGACTGCGCTTGACAATGTAATGCTCCGCTGAAGACTACTTTCGGTGCACGTGCCTTGCTTCCCCAGAAATGACATCAGAAAAACCTCGCCGCTGGTATCTCCGCATAATTTGTCAATGGCTCAATTTGCCGTCAAGATGACGATGCGACAAGAAACCAGAGCCAATATTTCAAATTATCACACGCCTCCGATTCTCATCAATATATTCGTCTTTATCATCTTTGTTGTTGCCTTCTGCATGCTCATCCGACGCATTTCTCGTCTTTCTCGTCCAAAACCACCTCGACCATCTCAGAACCCCGCTCCTGTATCGCGGATGAGACTCGCCCAGATGTCCTCCCATATTTCAAACGGCCATAGCAATGGCACCCGGTCCAATGGCCATTCCGAAGCCACGGCCACTTTGGCAGATATTCCCAAATCCAATAATTTCACCTCCAAACTTCCTCCTGATCCTCAATTTCCGACGCCGATCGACTCTCACAAGGCCCCTCGACAGAAGTTGGGTCCCCGCATGGTGCGAGGGGCACTGTACACATTTGTCAGGCCTGAGCCGACCGAGGAGCCTGAACTCCTAGCCGTCAGTAAGGCTGCGCTGCGCGATATCGGTCTCGCGGAAAGCGAAGCGTCATCCGAAGAATTCAAACAGGTCGTCGCAGGCAACAAGTTTTACTGGGATGAAGAGAAGGGTGGGGTATATCCCTGGGCGCAATGCTACGGTGGCTTCCAGTTCGGTTCGTGGGCCGGTCAACTAGGTGACGGACGAGCAATCTCGCTGTTTGAGACGACGAATCCAAAGACCAACGTCCGTTACGAGCTACAACTGAAGGGTGCGGGCAAGACACCCTATTCACGCTTTGCCGACGGCAAGGCCGTTTTGAGATCGAGTATCAGAGAGTTTGTTGTGTCCGAATATCTCAATGCTATCGGCATACCGACGACCAGGGCTCTGTCGTTGACGTTGTGCCCCAAGTCCGAGGTTGTCAGGGAACGTCTTGAACCTGGAGCAATTGTCTGCCGTTTTGCTCAGACATGGCTGAGACTGGGCACATTTGACCTCCTGAGGTCAAGAGGTGACCGGGACCTGATCCGCAAAGTCGCAACCTACATTGCTGAAGATGTCTTTGGTGGGTGGGAGAAACTACCGGCAGCTTTGCCAGCCGATGTCCCGGACGCCCATCTCGACCCGGCAAGAGGTGTCCCGAAGGATGAGATCCAAGGCAAAGAAGGCGCCGAGGAGAATCGGTTTGCTAGACTGTATCGAGAAATTGTTCGAAGAAACGCCAAGCTTGTGGGCATGATGCAGGCGTATGGGTTCATGAACGGGGTGCTCAACACCGACAACACGTCAATATACGGTCTGTCGCTCGATTATGGGCCGTTTGCATTTATGGACAACTTCGATCCATCCTACACGCCTAATCACGATGACCATATGCTGAGGTATAGTTACCGCGCACAGCCGAGCATTTTCTGGTGGAACCTTGTTCGTCTCGGTGAAGCCCTGGGTGAATTGATTGGTGCTGGGGACAAAGTGGACGATGAAGTTTTTGCAGAGAAAGGGGTACATGAAGATTTTGCACCCATCCTCATCAAGCGCGCCGAGACCATTATCGACCAGATCGGGGACGAGTACAAAGCTGTTTTCATGAGCGAGTATCGTCGTCTGATGACGGTACGATTGGGATTGAAGACTCAAAAGGAGAGTGACTTTGACAAGCTGTTCTCAGAACTGCTCGATACAATGGAAGCATTGGAGCTGGACTTTAACCACTTCTTCCGCCGTCTCTCCTCTGTCAAGATGGACGATATCAGCACCAAAGAGAAGCGCGAGAGCACAGCCGAGAGATTCTTCCACGGCGAAGGTGTCACCGGTCTGAACGAATCGAACGAGTCTGGCCGTGAAAAGGTCGGGAAGTGGCTTGATTCGTGGCGGGAGCGGGTGGTTGAGGACTGGGATATCACGGACGAGACCACAGCGTCGGCGGCAGACGAGCAGCGGGAGAAGCTGATGAAGAGCGTCAATCCCAACTTTGTGCCTAGAGGATGGTTACTGGACGATATTATTGATCGAGTACAGAACAAGAAGGAGCGAGACATCCTGAAGGGCGTCATGGACATGACCCTCGCGCCGTTCGAGGACGAGTGGGGTTGGAACGAGGAGATTGAGAAGAAGTACTGTGGTGATGTGCCCCGATTTCAGCGGGCGATCCAGTGCAGTTGCTCGTCATGAACAATACCGGTTTCCCAGCTGCCAGCCTGGCAGTGTCGATGGCATTTTGACATTTTCCCCTCGAGGTGGATCGGAGATGGCTCGATATATCTGGAGATCTCTTGTGACGGTATATTACTCACTTCGTAAGAAGCGGTTATGAAATCGAAGATGTAATACTATATCATTTTACACACCAAGTACCTGCGTACCTGTGTACCTACCTACCAACTAGGTAGCTTCTTTCTGCCCTGGTCGTGTCTCAGTTGTATGCTCGGAGCCTTGTCTCCAACTCAGTGAGTTACTTAACATCAATCCGACTACAAGGTATATACTATATACTATATACTATTCACTCATGCACTCATGCACTTATGCAAATATACACCTAGGTATCCACTCAGATCTCTGTCCACACCTACCTCGCACAATTCCTACATAATCCTACCAGGCAGTGTCTAGTATCCCTGGTCTCCCGATCCTCGATCCTCGTCCCTCCTCACTGCATTACTGCATTACTCACTACTGCTCAGCGGCGACCATCTCCTTGATCGCGGCCTGCAACTCCGCCGGGTCAATGTACACTTTATAAAACACGGCCTGTAGCTGCTCCCCCTGCCGCCTCTTGAAGACGATCCAGCTGGCGAAATCGGTGTCGACCCGCCGCCCGTTCTTCAACTTGAACCACACGGTGCCGTTGATGACGACCTCGGGCCCTTCGTGAGTGGGCCCCGCGAGGACGAAACACTTTTTGAAGGTGTGCTCGAGGTCGACGACGGGCCCGTTTGGACCATGGCCTCGCGGAGGCCGCGGATCCCGTCTTTGCCCTTTACAGGGGTCTGGCCGAAGACGAGTTCGCTGTCCGGCGTGAACAGGTTGAGGTACTCGTTGTTGGAGTGCGGGTCGTCCCATGACTGGAAGTAGCTGGCGAGGGTGCTACCCAGGCCGGCAGGCAGGGAAGCGTGGTTTTCAAACGTATAGTTTTCGCGTTGGGCCATGTTTGGGTTGTTTCTCCCTTTTTTTTTCGAGCTAAAGTCGTGATACACACTTTTGCTATTTTTCCTGTTTCTCTTGATATGGAGAGGTTCGCCGCCCGGGGGGGGGGGGGGGGGGGTTTTCTGAAGCGGTGGATGTTGAAGAGTACTTGAACAGTAGTGATACGCGTGGACAGCGAGGATCAGTGACAGTTACTTATTGACCTATGTTACCAGGACCTAGCGATCAACATGCTCTCGTCTTCCTTCCTTCCTTCCTCCCTTCCTTTATTTATGGCCTTCCGTCCCCCAGAACGGTTTCTGTAGAGAATGCTGTGACATGGAATTAACGGTCAAAGCACCCCCCCAACACCCGACATCGACGGGTTTAGCGAGTTACGAGCAGAGGAGGCGGAGAAACCGAGATTCCTAGGTTCCATTATAAAGCAACTGACAATGTCTAAGAGAGGCCAAGACGAACAAAAACACGCCGAGGAGGATAAATCTCCTGATGAGGAAATATACTGTACAGAAGGACGGAAGATCCGTGACCCCTTTGCCATGTGGGTGTGATGCGGGAAGCGGGAGAGCCGCGTTTTGATATATACTTTGCGGAGATGGTTCCGTTCCGAGGAAGGATCTGCGTACATACATAAGGTACCTGTACAAACCTCATCACAAAGCCAAGCGAAAGAAAAGCAAAGGAAAAGGTAAGGAAAGGCAGATACCGTTAACATAACGGAGTAGCCGCCCGCACGAGACCAGCAAGACGAGCCAATCAGGAACACTTAGCAACGAGAAACGTCGGAGTCGTCATAGGGCGGATGGGGCACAGATCATCGTCATACGGAAGGCCGCTTTGGGAAATTCCATGGGATGGAGAGTATACCGCCCTCATGAATGGGCGAATAGGTATCAAGACGTACTGTAGATTGATCCATGTGTCGTGAATGTCAATCCACGTCAGGAAAATATCCCTTCCCTTCTCTTCCATAACCCCCCGCTCAGTCTGTCGTTATTTTCCTCACCCTCGCATGCAAAGACAACTCCTCCAACAACTTCAAAATCCCCATCGTCATGAGCAACAGCATCCACCTCGTCAACGTCTTCACCTCAGACAGTAGTGAAGGCGGAAACCTCGCGCCAATAGTTCTCCATGCCGAGGGTTGGACAGACGAGGAGATGCGCGATGTGGCGCACCAGCACCAGCGAGAAAGTGCGTTTGTACTGCCGCCACCATCAAAAGATGGATCCGGCGCGGATTTCGAGCTGCGGTTCTTTGTACCGGAACACGAAATGGAAATGTGTGGCCACGCTACCGTGGGAACGGCTTGGGTGATGCATGAGCTTGGGATCTCCCAGACGCCGGAGATTAGGTTCATGACAAAGTCCGGCCTGGTGCGCACCATTCGCCGCGTGGAGGAAGGGGGAGACGACCGGTCCACTACGCAAAATGTCAAGGTATTTGTGTCTCAGCCCAAGGGGAGGGTCGAGGACGTGACGGACGGCGCATTAATCGGGGAAATCCTCTCCGTGCTCGGTATAGATCAGGCGCAACTGCAACCAACGCCCCGCGCGGTCCAGAATGCTTGCACAAGCCGGGTGAAGACGGCGATTGCGTTGCGCGACGCGGATGTGCTGAATGGTCTTCGCCCTGATTTCTCACGCGTCAGGGATTTGTGTGATCGGTTGGGGTCGACGGGCCTCTATCCCTACGCGGTGGTACAGGGTGGAAACAGCTGGGACAACAGTAGCAGCTCTGTCCAGGCCGAGGCACGGCAGTTCCCAAAGGCTTCGGGGTATCCTGAAGACGCGGCCACAGGGATCGCAGCAGCGGCGTTGTCGTATGTTCTGGCAGCCCATGGAGTGCTGCCCGTGGGGCAGGAGGCGGTGGTGTATCAGGGACGAGCGATGGGATATCCGTCGCAGATCAACGTATTGCTTGAGGAGGATGGGTGTTGGGTTGGTGGGACATGTGCATGGGCGCATCAGTCCAGCTGACGCGCTTAAATGGGAGGAAGGAGCCAAAATGCGCCTTTCACACCACGTCTTGAATCGGGGTCGTTTGCTCACAGCCACGTTCCCTTCGACATAAGGCCTCAACAGTGCTTCTCTACCTGTGAGTGGCACTCCCTCTATAGCGTGATCTTTCCATTTGCCAGTCGACACCCGCTTCTGTCTCATTGTCAGCCAGAGGTGTGATCGCCCTCAGGATATCCACCTCGAGCGCATTCCACTGGTCATCAAGGACCTTGTACTGGCCTGAAAAGTGGTGGATATTGGTGCTGAGAGTGCCGTAGAGATTCGTGCCCACGTTCTCGATCTGCTTGATTTTCGGGTACTTTTTCAGGACGGGAATCAGTGGATGGCCCGACTCACCCCGTTCAAGCTGCCTCTGTGCCTCCTTCAACCCAGTCTGGAAGAAAGCAGTCCAGGCTGCTGTCGCACTGTTCCCAGCCTTTGCGTCTCGTGGTGGTAACATCTCCAGAAGATGCCGAAAGGCCAGGTTTGTGATGATGCGCTGCTGTGAGCGATTGGCGTTTCGAAGCTCATCAATCTCCTTGCGCAGCTCGGCTTCTCGAGCCGCCGAGTCGCTGGAGAACAGATGGTTTCGGAGTGAGTATATATCTTCTGGAGGGTTGCGCGTGACGGCGGGGCATCCGGCCTCGAGGCAAAACTCGGCGACCTTGGTCGAGAATATCTGGTAGACCGAGTTTTTGCGGAAGTCCGAGTAGCTCTGCAGTAGCTGCCACCACAGCGAGCTGAGCGCCGAGCTCGAAATGGGAACATCGTGAAGGATGGTCTTGACGACATCCGCCGGTTCAGCAGGTCGCACGATTGGCGTGTTGACATCCATCCTCCTCCTAAACCCTTGTAGCCATGTCTTGAAGACAGAGGTGATGAGCCAATTGGCTAGGATTACATCCAGCCGAAGCAGCAGCCTGGTGCATTGGTTTGGCAGAACCTCGAGAGCGCGGCAGGCTGGGGTCAGATTCCCATCCTCCGCCGTGAAGCCGGCCAACCAGGGTGCTGATCTCAACAGGCTTTCGAAGCAGTCTGGCTCCCAGTACTCCCACGTGGACGCGGCCAGTTCACTCACACAGGTGTGTGCGTCTGACTGCAGATGTGAGTCGCGATGTGTCTCGAGGTATTTTCGTAAGTCGAGAGGTGTCGTGTCAAATCGAAGCTGTGTCCAGTCTGCCGACGCTGTGGTTGCTGAGGCACTCTCGCCCATGATGACACCGATTGAGCAGTCCAGGGGCAGTCAAGATAATCATCTGCTGGGCCAAGGGCTTCCTTGGTCCCTGTGGTGAGGAGGAGCTCCAGACAGGATAGAGGGGACAACGAAAAAGGAGAATCAGGTAACCGTGGGGAATAAGGGGGCGGAGATTATTGCCGCGCGGCTTGGGCCCGGTCCGATTCCTTCCGCTGGTGGCACCGACTGTTTCACGCCAATCCGGTTCTGGCTGCCAGAACTGTCGTGAGGAGACCATGTACCTGTAGACAGGATCCCCAGCATTGTCTCTTCCTTTGGTGTCTGACCTCAAAGAGGACAATGACTCGAGGTAGCGCTTGAAACTGCAATAGAGAGGAGATCCTAGTCGTGTCTAAAAATGTCGGGAATTTCGTTCATCCTCATCAGAAGCCGATCACTTCGACATCCTTGAACCATTTGTGCCCCAATGCCTCTCGGGCCGTGATCCCTTTTCCCAGATTGAAGTCGGCATATTGCTGGGCGGAATTCATAGTTGTTTCGAGGAATCTATTTCAAGGCAAACTGCTCGTTAAGGTCTCCATGGTAGCTAAGTCAGTAGACGATACTAACTCTACTGGCAGTGGCATACGTAGCAAGAAACATGCGACCTAGCAAACTTCCTTTGTCTTGAAGGACGCGTTCGATCTTGTACTGGCGACCAGACATGCACTTGGTCTCTGTCGCTTGATCTCTCTGAGCATCCGTGTCCGTGGAATTTATTGACAATGCAGGATGTGTTGCCGTGCTCGAGTAACGACGTAGTCGAAACTGGGTTCGCAAGGCTGCACCAGAGGCGCTTCGCGGGCAGACTGATCTGGGAGAGTTTCTAGACGGGACAAAGATGATGGGCGACGTCCTGCAGCGCTGAAGCGCATTGGATCTCATCATGGAAGCCAGTGTCTCATCGGGAAATCTCGTACTGTAAGCGAAAGGCTCTTTTTCAATGTTTGTAAACTCAAGAAAGTGGCTGACAAGTGCCTGCGCCGGCCAGCGTCCGCTGTCAAGGAATTGTCTAAGCTTGCGCAGGGTGGCTTCAATCGAGTGTTCCAAATCACCATGAAAGATGGCTTCGAAGTACTCGCACGCCTTCCCTACCCTTCGACGAAACCATGTCGACTTGCAATAGCCAGCGAAGTCGCGACTCTGGATTTAGTTCATGCTGCCGGCGTGCCAGCTCCCAAAATCTTGTACTACTCGACAGACGCTCAAAATCCTGTAGAGGCCGATTCTCTGATCATGGAGAAACTTCGTGGCCGTCCTATTGGAGACATGTACCCCGTACTGGATCTCAAGTTTACGAAGTGGGCCTTGGGTACTTTCAACGGGCACGGGGATGAAGCTAATCGTTGGCGAGACTCGCCAAAGGATCCCACCCCACCTGCTGGTTCCCACCTGTTTTTGTAGGGAGATCGATTTCCTGCTTCTATAAGTGTGGCCTATTTTGTACAGCTAACTTCATTATCGTCGTCAAAACACGCAATTACTTATTCTGTTACAGATCAACCCCTGTCGTCTTGACCTCTCGAACCTCAATGCGACCACTCCCTCCAACGCCAACCCATTTCTCTCTTTCTCCGCGGCGCTTCATCTCCTTTCCGACCCATCTATCTCTCTTCCCCGCTGCGTGGCCATCAATCCACCTGTTCAACGATTGGCTGCGCAGTTGATTGACACTCGCCCAGCCGCCGCCTATCACACCTTCCCCTTGACTCGCGAACAGGATGACCACAACGCTGATCAGGGCAAGGTGGACGATCAGCAGCACCAGTACACTCGCAAACGCTTTCCACGTCATTGGCCTCAGCGCCAACACGAAACTACTGGACTGAACATCCTCCCGCTCGTCGAATTTCAGGGCAAGATCATAATACGACATGGAGAACAGGTTGGTGAACACACTCTGCAAGGCATAGGCGGGATGTCCTGTGGCTTTGAGAGTGGTGGTCATGAGACTCAGGTGGTGTGGGTGCAGCGAAGACGGCCCCTTTGCTCCATCAGCTCCCGCGGCGGAGATTGACGAAGAGTTCTCGAGCGAGGGCTGACAGTCCAAGCAGAATGTGAGTGCCGTATTCTTCCACCCCAGATTCGCATTGAGCAGAATTGCTTGCCCCGTGCGCGATCGGCGTCGCGTTGTGGAATTCGAAACCCAACTATCAGCTGAAGCATCCGATGTAAACGGTGCGAGAGCCAGAATCCCTCGCTCTGCCAGAGTATCATTGGGCGAGGACAGGCCGCTGCTACTGTTAAGTCTGAGGGTGCCCAATTGCCGACGAATTCCATCTGTACTAAACGTGCGGTTGTCATAGTCCCATTCCATGTTCGGCTCGGTGCGATTCCGCAAACCGTCGGCGCTGATATCACGGTCTACCACGTTGAAGGCGCTGTAGCAAAGAGAAAGCGAAAAGGTAATCTCGGGGTCATTGGTGGGAATGTCAAGCCACTCGCCCTTCTTGATGTAATCCTGCTCAGAGGCCAAAGTGAGATTTGACACGGTCGGCCCGCCACCGTCGTCGAAGATCTTCCGTCGCTTACAGTAGTTGAGCCACCGGCCCCAACTGCCTGTGGTATTGACGAGGAGGTAGGCTTGACCTACACCGTACAACATGTATGTATTCATTCCGTATCGCGTGCCACTGTTCGGATCGAGTACCTCGTCAATACTGTCCATGGCTGAAATGATGCCGGCTGTTTGAGTTACGGGACAGCTCATCAAGGACCACTCCGAGGGCCGCTGCGCGTTGGGGACGGCAGTACCACAGTTGAAGGTCTCTGTAACTTTGTCGTCTTCGTGATAGCGAAACCGTGGAACCGAGCTTAGGTCGGTTGAGACGTCCCCGCTGAGTCTGGGGCCTGCACACTCGTCGACGTTGCCGATATCGAGGGATGCACGCTTGATGGTAGGCCGCGCACAGACAACCCGGGAGTCCAAAGTGGTGGCGATCCCCTTGTAACTTCGAAGCATTTCCCGCGAACTCTTCTGGGTTACTGGCATGAAAGCCCGCATCACAGTCCCTGTGTCGTGGACACCATCAACCGTTTCCCGATGACTCTCGGTTTGCGAGTATTCGGCAAAGGCAGGATATTGACTTGGGGCTAGAAGCATATACCCGTCACCAGACCAAGTCGCTTGGGAAGAGATCCCAGCGTCCCAATTTATGGTTGCCGGAATTGACAACGCGCGAACCACGTCCGATATGGGGCTGATTTGTAGGTCGGAGAGCAGAATCGTCGAGGTGAATTGGACAACCGTTGTCGTTAACATGAGAATTACCGCCAGCAATCCCAGGACGCCAGCCTTGCCTTTCTTCCACGACCCAAGAAGATTGACGACAAGTTGGTGAGGACCATTGTTCTGGTGCTGCAAAAGAGTCATTGGTACAGAGTTGGGCAGTGTAACCTGGAATTTTTGCAGTGCCAGGCTTGCCAGCATCGATGTACATAGCGCTGCCTGCGCAAAGACTGCAAATCGAATGACCAGTGCTGTCAAGGCGATAGCCTGAGCAATGTGTCCTCCAGCAACGATCCATCGCCAGAAATGGTTGCGGTCGTCAGCCTTCCACAGGAACCAGAGGAATCCAACTGCACCGCTGATGACAAGGGTGCCGAGTGACAGCACGCTGAAGCCATAGCGACCGATATCGAGGACTTTCCCTGGTTCCTGCCGCCGCGCAGTCACTGTGTCCAGCGGTCTGTCCAGCGAGGTCCCAGCCCATAACGGGTCTCTTGAAGAATAGTACGACGGCGTTGACAGCTCAAAGAGATCAGAGGAGCCATGTTTAGCGGCCATGGGCGTCTGTCGCTGGCCTGGAAGAGCTACGAGGGAAAAAATGATCCCAAACCTTTAGAGGTCTGCTTTGTCGGCAACGAGCCTCTTGGTTTTCCCAAGACGACAAACAGAGACAAGACAGCAGAGGGACACTAATCTGCCTTGGGCCTCCTGTAGCACGTACCGTGGTGGACCGGACACGAGGAGCGCCACCCCAAGGCGCCGGTTTCTCGCTTCTACCACGAACATGAAGTTCTAGCCCAGCTGGTGTTGCGTCTGCCGCGCACGCCAAGCAGATCGGCTCATGAATAGAACAGGAAGGCTGGGGTCAAGTTGTGCAGGGCCAAGATACATTTCGCGTATTTTGGTCTTGGAATCCCAATAGGAAACCTCGGGTCTGGCCCGGCTTTCTTTCAGCTGCCGAGCCTCGTTCGCTTCACGACCAACCAACATGTTTGATCGTCGACGACGCGGCGAGACCATGCAGAAGAGGCTCGTTCCTAAGTCTCGTGGGGCTCATGAGAATCTGCTATCTGAAAGCCAAGTGCATTTCTCATCGCGACTTTCTAAATTGGGATATGTTCGTTTGACTCCTTTTGTCGACATACATCTTTGCAACTCACAGATAGCGCAACAAAGTCTCTATTGGTGGACACAGAAATGTCCTTCGTCGGTAGCAGTCAATTGCAGACTTCGCTGTTACTGTTCTATGCGTTCCTTGTGGTATTACTGCCACAGTTTGTATGCGGCGACGGAGTAGGACTGCCGCCCTACGATGCAGAGTACGTTTATCAGACATCGCTGCAACCTCGGGCGACGACCTCTGCACCAGCTCCAAAAGATACTTGTGGGTTCCTCTCTGGAGATTATGGTAAGTTCAACTGAAGTGCCATTTCACAGATACATGGGAGTATTTGTTTCTCGTGATTCGTTACAGTACTGACTCGAGAGACCGGTAGATATACCACTTACTTGTCAGAGCTCACGCACCTGTGCGCGATTGAATTCTTTCGTGGGATGCTGCTTGCCATACAACTGCACCAATATAGCGACAACTTGTCGGGACTACACAAGCTCTGAAACCTGCGACTCTGACATATCATCCTGCACGACGACCGAGGAGCCACCAAATACTTTGGACTGGTAAAGCCTCTAAACCCCCAAGCTCAGCCCATCATCTGCGCTTGACTGATAGTTTCTATAGCTCGAGCCGGGCTCCATACTGCGGACAGCTCCTGCTGGAAGGCGGGTCGACAGCGTGGATATGCACCACAAAGAAGAACTATATCATGACGGTGCTCCGAGCGAGTATCTCCATCACGGTCGTCGAGACGGGGTCAACCATTATGGCTACATCTTCTGCAGCTCCACCCGCTGCTTCAGCAACGGGAAGGACCTCTACCGCAACACGTTTCACCCCTAGTTTCCCCGCGACTCCCCGTCAACCCGCCTCGGAGAGCATCGGCCCAGCGCTGTTTGGCGGACTGGCGATAGGAAGCATCGCGACCATGGCTGCCGTGACCGTCGCCAGCATCCTCTTCATCCGCCATAAGCGCCACACCCAGTATCAGTCGGTGTCTCAATCTGATCCGATCCGGTTGAGAACGGGGAAGTGAATAGATAGCTTGGGCAACCTTCCTACTTGTGGATAAGGAGGGTGTCTTCCATTGCACGAATAACGCGACCTGAACTTTTGAATTGTACTTTAGACGCAGCGATAGGCATTGACTGGAAAGTATGATGGATATCTCCCAGAAATTTCCAAGCGCTACGGCAACTGCCTGCTGCGGATTTCGAAGACTTTACTTGTTTACTCATGAAGCGCCGCTCGTGCAGAATATCCTATCATTTTAACACCTACACCGGATCCGACCCTGCGCGCCTAGGGAGAGATGCATTATTTCTTACAAATCTCCATGACTTTGCTGCTCTGTTTGAGCTCACTTTCCGTGAAAGTTTCACAGCGGCTTTTCCAGGAAAATATAGCAGGTATCGGTGCAAGCCATCCTGATCCGCTGGGCAAGTGACCACCCGAGTGCTCTTTGCTGCGATGCTCAGGACTTTTTGTTTCGAATCGCTTTCATTTTTCATCCAAGAAGCTTTTCTCACTTCTTGGTCCTCTTCCGCTTCACCCCGACCCTCTCAGCCTCGTCAACTTTTTCGTCGTCTCCAGAACTACTATCGTCCTTGTTATTCGCTCGTTTCGATGTCCCACCCTGCTCTTGTGTCGACCCAGTCTGCCGCCCCCCTACCCATACCGTCCCGCGGACCACCCCCGTCTCACCATCCCAAGACACCGTCATCTCGCGCCTATCCAGGTCCCTCTCCCTCAACCACTCTGCAGCGATCCGACCACACTCCTCGCCCACCCTCTCCGTCCCTTCCTTGAGCTTCTTCCCTCCACGGACGTTCATGCCGTGATCCGCGCCGTCGACCACAACTCGCCACGTGCGGGCCTTCATCTTCGCCCGGACGCTTTGTAGGGTGTCGAGTGGACACATGGTGTCGTGATCGCCGGAGATGAACAGCACGTCGACGTCCGCGTGGATGTCGAGGAGGATTTGGTCGCGCATGGCCCCGCTAGGGCTGACGAGAGGGTATGAGGCTAGCAGGAGCGTTTTGATGCCGTGGTCTGTGT